GCCAATTCGTCACTAGTACAGCACACCGGTGTGTTGGAAAGCCAAGCTACAACATTTACAATCGGAGTACGACGTTTCGTCAGTAATTACAACTAGCTTCATCAGGCGACAGCCAGATTTGTGGAGAAGTCCGCCTGTTTCGTTCCTTATATAGATGCGTAGATGTGGTGACCACACTTCTGCGCTCTTGCGGCAAGTGGGGGGGTCATTACTGAGTCAACGTACATTATGCATGCGCATTATGTGAGCCTTTTGATCTTGTCCTTCCTGCCCATTGTGTGTATTACCTGTCTTTGTTACCGCCAGTACGGTGCCTATTTCTTCTGGTGGTGGAGAGCGTTCTTGGTTTGAACTTCCGATTGTTTTTGCATTGCCGAGAAGCTGCATCGCTATTCCATTAGCAGTTGGCTTTGGAGTCCGGTTTTCTGAGTGTGCCACTCCACCGAGGTTTCGCAGTTATCCCCATGCCCTGCGGCTGGAGTGCGTTAAGTCAAAAGACTCCATCAATGCTGCCCACTTTGCTCGTCTGGCAGAATCTAACGACTGCAAAAGGACTGTTGCTTTTATGTTCTCGGAGAAGATTTTAGCTTTCCGGAATCCAGCCGGGGATGTACGACCTCCGATAACCCTGCAGAATCGCATCCCTGGAGGTTTTATTCACGAGCATGATGAACTGCTCAAACTTTTCAGGGTCCGTGGAGATGTTCTTTTCCACAGCAGCCAAAAATCAGGCCAATTAGCCCATCCGAAGTTCCAGTGGGGTCTTGGTGTGCTGGTGATAGTCAATAAAGAGGTCACGTTAAGGGAAATTTAGAAGAAGTTTTGTGATAGAGTATGAGTGGAACCTTCACAATTCGGGCACCAGGAATGAATTCCAGAATAGATAATTTTTTGTCCCATTTGTATTGTACTTCTCCATTTGCAGTGTGTGTCTTGCTCCATCTATCTCAATCTGGCTTATTCGTACCGTTTCATTTGAATAATCTGTGTCATATGTTCGGCGTTGTTCCGTCTCGTTCATACGATTAGGCCTCAAGGTAACATTTTGTATACTTTTGCACAAATCATATAATCAAGCCTCATGCATGTGATACGTGATTCGGTGAATACATCTATTGTAATTCACTAATTACGACGTGTCTAGATGTAACCTTGCATAGGCCGTTCTCTAACACAAGGTGATTTACTGCCTGAGGACCGTTCCTAATGGACAACGTTGTCTCTTGTCATCACGCCAATAGTACAACTCGAATAACGCTGAGAAGAAAAGTTTTCCGAAAATAACAGACCCATGACCACGTGTGTGTGTGTGTGTCATGCAGCACATATGTATCATGTTATGGTATGGAAATTAGGAAATACTGCGAGACTATTTTTTATAGTTGTGAAGCCATCGAACATATGTGTTGTGCAGTAGAACCACACGGAGACGAGAAACAATCGATTTATTCACCGAATCACATTTAATAAACGGCTGTTGCCGTTTATTAAATCACTGTCACACTCGACATCCTACACTCACACCAGTGTCCGTGCACTCTATCTCGGTCCTTTACCCCGGACACTGAATACTATTTGGGTCCTACGCTCGGCTACCCTTTGGGCTCTCTCTTCCAGCCGACCCTTTACTGAATACCTACGGAGCCTACCTTCGGCTATCCCTTTGGCTTTCCCACTCGTCTGCCCAGAGCGGGGGTTCAGCCAACACCACCCTGCGACTAGGAGAGAGAGACCCTCTGCAGCCGATCCTTACCCTGGCTCCCCACCACGACCACGCCTTCGTCACGTGGTCTCCCTTAAGAACCCCTTGGCGGCTCCTCCCCCTTTCTCGGCCCCACCTTTGTTCCCGAAGGTGCTCTCTGAAGCCCCTTGCACAACCCGTCCCGTTACGTCATCCTTGACTGTCAACCGGCTCCCCATTCTGTTCGCCCCCTCATTGGTTACTCACAATGCTCATCTACATATGTACATATGTACGTATGTAGAGGAGCATTGTGAGTACATATGTACATATGTATGTATGAGAAATAGTCTCCACACATGTTTAACAACTGCACTGTAATTATCTGATCACATTGACCTTGTAGTGGAGGTAAAGTCAGGACAATGTAAAGGCTGATCATCATTGACAAAGAATAATCTTTTTTTTAAACGGACAACATAAATCTCAAAATCCATTGACTGTTCTCTGGTTCAGACACTGCATGGGGTTGAATGCGTTTCTATTCAAAATTACTTCCCTTATTGAAATCCTATCCTGTAATTGATGAAATGGATCGCGTTAAATCACATTGTAAACAAATATTGGCGATGCGTGTACAGTCTTATTCCACATTACATGTGGACATTTGAAAGAGAGAATAAAAATACACCTGATAATGACTGTATGAATAGCATTATTTTGGGCTTCATATGTGAGAGCTTACAGTGCAAATCCTAAACTAACACTACTGTTGAATATAATCTACAGTGATGGGAAACGCTGGATTGGAAGGTCATTGAGGTGAGGTTCAATCAGCAATACAGTTGTAAAAAAGAAAGCAATGTGTATTATAGCATCACGTGAAAATGAAAAGCTTGGAAACATTGATCAGAACAAATTAGGTTCCTAAAGCTCTTGGGGAAGAAATCTGAAATGAAATGCCTCAAGCTTGTTTTGAATTGTTGGCCTCTAGTGGTCTAGAGGTTGCATTGTGTTGCTGAAGGTGATAATGACATGCAGCAACTGCAAACATTTAATCAATATTTGCCCTGGTTCGCGTGTGCAGTGCCTGGGTGAATCGCGCCCTTTGAAGGACTGAATTGCAGTACATTGAGTCTGATTTGTCTGAATATTACTTGTGCGTTCGGGAATGACTGCACAAATTATATTTTTGCAAAACTTGTTTCCAAAAACAACTATACAAATTTTACTATGTAAGGCCCACTGAGCCATATAGCTCGTTTTCAGAAGCGACCTGGGCACAAATGATAGCTCAATGAAGTGGCTTATCATGTGGAAATGTACAGCAGCCAAATACTATAAACGTATGTTGATTCTAAATGTTGAGGGAAAACCGGAGGACGCGGAAATAAAATACATGCAAAGGGTCGTGACCGAACCCACGACCCCCTGCATACTAGGCAAGGTAGTTAACATCTCACCAACGCGGCGCCGAACACTTCAAGTTGTGTTTTTATTATGAGACGAGGGAGCACACTTTCACACATTCTGCTGTCAGGCTGGCGCATCACATTCAAACTGATATTTTTTATTGCTCCAGCTGGAGTTTAACACGTAGGCTTTCGCGACCAATATTATTCATAATCACCGGTGGGCTAAAGCAGTGAACTTTTCGTTTTTTGTCAACGTGACACTTTTCTGCTGATTGGCCGTGTCGGGTGGTGGAGGGTTACGACACATTTATAAATAACGCGATCTAAACCCAAAAACGTTGATTATGATTATGTTCCAGCTGGAATTTGAACACATAATGTGAATAAAGAAAACAAAACTTAACGTCATTTTTTCTTGCAGTGATTGTTAACCAGGCTGAGACCGCCAACTCGCTAGACTTGAGGTTTAATCGCGGGTGGCTGAAAGCTACGTTTCAAACGAGGATCTCAGCAGTGCCGGCTGAGTTCTCTGATCCCTTGAGCAACGAGGCCACGATAATTGGTATATTTGTTTAAGGGCGATGCTTATACATTCATATTTACGTTTTATAATGATGATGGTTTATCTTGCTCTTGAATTGTTATCTGTGTTTATCTGTGGGCGCACCCACTAGGGGTCTCCAGGAAGCATTGCATTTTTTAATATATTATCCACATGTTCATGGCAAGTCAAAATATAATATTAGCATTTTTCTTTGATTTAATTTCCGAACAGGAGTTATTTCCATATATAGGCATGGATCATAGGATCAGCCGAAAGCTCCTTCCCTATGTAATCGTGGCTAGGAGGGATTTCACTTCATAATGAAAGCCTCAGGGTAGTGGGATATGCTAGAAAAGTACACATCCTAGAAGAACAAGTACATTGCATTGGGTTACTACAATCGATAAAGTTGTCATATCTTGGGTGAAGCACCCAGTTCCTCCCTCAGTGTACTTTAAAGATGGTTGATCCAGCACTCACCGATTCACATCGGTCACTCGCTCATCAGCAGTGAGTTGTCTCCTTATCACTCATACCATTACCACCACGATTACTCTCCCAATGAACTTCCGTCATTGATTCCTCCACCCATGGTTAGAACTCTGTCGACCAAACTGACCGCTTCCTCTTAACCACACTGTGTTGAATGCCCCTATGCAGATCAAAGAATGTATCTCGCTCTTTGCTTAGTTCCTCACGCTTCATCTTCGCCATTTCCTCCCACATATTCTTGGTTCTTTCGGTAAAAGTCACGTACGTGAACTTATGCAGTCACGAAAGTTTAAAGTCTAAATTCCTCCCACCTCTTATTCCATGTCTGTATAACCTCGCTGAGTTCTAAATGCGTGTTAATTGTTATCTGTTGCACCTTTAGCAGTGCCGTTTGTTTGCTGGCCGCTTGGAGTTTGGGTCCTTTTTTTGATCCTGGGCTCAACAACTGCAGTTTAAAAACAAATAAAAACCCAACAATCATGCTGCATTGGCAACGAATCTGCACCATATGAAAGTAGCCAGCTGCAACCCTATGCAGCCCTATCGACGATTTAGTAGGCTTTCGCGACAAATACTATCCGTAATTGAGTTTTTTTTGGGTTAGATCGCGTAAATATGAATGTGTTGTTAAAACCGCCACTGCCCAGCACAGCCAATTAGTTGTGTTTGTAACGTAAACAAACCATGTTAGTAGTTCAGCACACCGGTGCGTTGGAGAGTAAACCCCATAACGTTTGCAATTCGTGACATTTCACCGGCGAGTGCACCAATCAGCCTCATTGGGCGACCGCCAGAGTTGTGGAGAAATCCTCCCGTTTCGGTCCCTTGACTGTCCTGCGCGAATGACCCTCTTTCGTGTCGTCGCCAGCCTTCCACCTGTCCAGCAGAGTGACCTCGGTGGTCCCGGAGAGCTGCCTGCTCATCGTGCTGGGCATTGTCCTGGGCGGAGTGGTGTGGGGCTCCAGCCGCTACGCCGAGTTCACGCTCACGCCCACGGCCTTCTTCTTCTACCTGCTGCCGCCCATCGTGCTCGACGCCAGCTACACCATGCCCAACCGGCTGCTGTTCGACAACCTGGGCACCATCCTGGTGTACGCCGTGGTGGGCACCCTGTGGAACGCGGCCGCCACTGGTCTCTCGCTGTACGGCGCTCACCTCGTGGGGGCTCTGGGTGAGACGACGGAGAGTCCTGCACGCACGAGCATGCACACGCACGCACGCGCACGAGCACGCACGCGCACGCGCGCGCACCCGCTGGGCAATTCGCAGCGTGGGAGATAATCTAACCTATATAATTCATTTTTTGTCCGTCCGTCCGTCCGTCCGCGTACGCTCCCTACCGGGGGATTTAGCTCTCGGACCGTGGGGTTCGGCGAGATTAAATTTTGCAGGTGGGCACGCCCCCGGCCCCGCGGTAAACTTAGGCATTTCCGATTTTTCGTCTCTAAACTTTAAATCGGACCGATGATCGATTTAGTGCGATTTATCTTTATTTATTTATTTGACGCTTTATTTATTTATTTACTCTTGCCGGCCGGCGCGGACCACGGCGGTTGCCCCTGGCAACGGGTAGAGACGCATTCGCTGCGGGGTGGACGCCATTTTGAATTCCCGTTAAAAATATGCGCACGTATTAACACGCGATTCTGAGGTAAATTCATCAAAGTTTCACGTCCTCTTCACTCCCCCCCCACCCCAATGTGTGCAATTACTATTATAGGGTCGGTAGATAATAAAATTATAGCGATTAGACAGTATTATTGTAGCGCGGGGGGGGGGGTTAACGGCCCCAGCACCCACCCTCAGCCGGGCGGGCAATCTAGGCGAGGCCGGAGGCTCTGCACGGTACTAGGCCTCGACACGCAACTCTGTCAGGCGACGACTTTGTGGTATAAACTCGATATACCCAGCGTTGCCCAGGGGAAAAATACATTTAAAATCTTCTGAAAACTTTAAAACATAACATCCCAATGAAAATACAACTGTGTAATTAAAACTCTAAACCCGACCGCGCCAAGAATCGATTCTCTGAATCGCGAAAAGGAATCAAAGGTTGTAGATTCATTTAGAATCGCCTTATTTCCGTTTAATATTAGTTGGTTATAGAGTTGATATAAACTGCTACGAATGGGAAATATCCGGCGTTGACCGGGGCTAAAATATAATTAAAAACTCCTGAAAACTTTAAACATAACATAACAATGAAAATAAAACTGTAATTAAAAATGGAAACCTCCTATGCGCCAGGAATCGATTCTTTGAATCGCGCAAAGGAATCATCGAAGGTTGTAGATTCCTTTAGGATCGCCTTTAACATGTGGTGAGGGAGAGAGTGGTGAGGGGGAGAGTGGTGAGGGGGAGAGTGGTGAGGGGGAGAGTGGTGAGGGGGGAGAGTGGTGAGGGGGAGAGTGGTGAGGGGGGAGAGTGGTGAGGGGGAGAGTGGTGAGGGGGAGAGTGGTGAGGGGGAGAGTGGTGAGGGGGAGAGTGGTGAGGGGAGAGAGTGGTGAGGGGGAGAGTGGTGAGGGGGAGAGTGGTGAGGGGGAGAGTGGTGAGGGGGAGAGTGGTGAGGGGGAGAGTGGTGAGGGGGAGAGTGGTGAGGGGGAGAGTGGTGAGGGGGAGAGTGGTGAGGGGGAGAGTGGTGAGGGGGAGAGTGGTGAGGGGGAGAGTGGTGAGGGGGAGAGGGTGAGGGGAGAGTGGTGAGGGAGAGAGTGGAGAGAGTGGTGAGGGGGAGAGTGGTGAGGGGGAGAGTGGTGAGGGAGAGAGTGGTGAGGGGGAGAGTGGTGAGGGTGAGGGAGGAGAGTGGTATGAGGGAGAGGAGTGGAGAGAGTGGTGAGGGGGAGAGTGGGTGAGGGGGAGGAGAGTGGGTGAGGGGAGAGTGGTGAGGGGAGAGTGGTGAGGGAGGGAGAGTGGGTGAGGGGGAAGAGTTGTGGTGAGGGGGAGAGTGGTGAGGTGAAGGTGTGAGGAGATAGTGGGGTGAGGGAGAGGTGGTGAGGGGGGGAGAGTGGTGAGGGGGAGAGTGTGGTGAGGGGAGAGTGGTGGTGAGGGGGAGAGTGTGGTGAGGGGGAGGTGGTGAGGGGGAGAGTGGTGTGAGGGGGAGAGTGGTGGTGAGGGGGAGAGTGGTGGTGAGGGGGAGAGTGGTGAGGGGAGAGTGGTGAGGGGGAGTGGTGGTGAGGGGGAGAGTGGTGGTGAGGGGGAGAGTGGTGGTGAGGGGGAGAGTGGTGGTGAGGGGGGAGAGAGTGGTGAGGGGAGGAGAGTGGTGGTGAGGGGGAGAGTGTGGTGAGGGGGAGAGTGGTGGTGAGGGGGAGAGGTGGTGGTGAGGGGGAGCGGGAGAGTGGTGTGTGAGGGGGAGAGTGGGGTGAGGGTGGAGAGTGGTGGTGAGGGGAGAGTGGTGGTGAGGGGAGAGTGGTGGTGAGGGGGGAGAGTGGTGGTGAGGGGGAGAGTGGTGGTGAGGGGGAGAGTGGTGGTGAGGGGGAGAGTGGTGAGGGGGAGAGTGGTGGTGGTGTGGGTGAGTTGGGAGGGTGAGGTTGAGTGGTGAGGGTGAGTGGTGATTGGTGAGGGTGAGGGTGAGTGGGGAGGGTGAGTGGCGGTTGTTAGTGGTGATTAGTGAGGGGTGAGTGGTGAGGGTTAGTGGTGAGCATGAGTGGTGAGGGTGAGTGTTGAGCGTGAGTGGTGAGGGTGAGTGGTGATTGTTGAGGGTGTGATTGGTGAGGATGAGTGGTGAGTAGTGAGGGTGAGTGGTGAGGGTGAGTGGTGAGTGGTGAGGGTGAGTGGCGGTTGTGAATGGTGATTAGTGAGGGGTGAGGGTGAGCGTGAGTGGTTAGGGTGAGTGGTGAGGGTGAGCAGTGAGGGTGAGCAGTGAGGGTGAGTGGTGATTGGTGAGGGTGTGATTGGTGAGGATGAGTGGTGAGTGGTCAGGGTGAGTGGTGAGGGTGAGTGGTGAGCGGTGAGGGTGAGTGTTGAGGGTGAGTGGTGAGTGGTTAGGGTGAGTAGTGAGGGTGAGTGGTGAGCGTGAGTGGTGAGCGTGACTGGTGAGGGAGAGTGGTGAGGGAGAGTGGTGAGGGAGAGTGGTGAGGGAGAGTGGTGAGGGTGAGTAGTGAGTGGTGAGTGGTGATTGGTGAGGGTGAGTGGTGAGGGTGAGTGGGGAGGGTGAGTGGCGGTTGTTAGTGGTGATTAGTGAGGGATGAATGGTGAGGGTGAGCGTGAGTGGTGAGGTTGAGTGGTGAGCAGTGAGGGTGAGTGGTGATTGGTGAGGGTGTGATTGGTGAGGATGAGTGGTGAGGGTGAGTAGTGAGGGTGAGTGGTTGTTGTGAGGGTGAGTGGTTGTTGTGAGGGTGCGTGGTGAGGGTGAGTGGTAAGAGTGAGTGGTGAGGGTGAGTGACGGTTGTGAGAGGTGATTAGTGAGTGGTGAGGGTGAGTGGTGAGGGTTAGTGGTGAGGGTGAGTGGCGGTTGTGAGTGGTGATTAGTGAGGGGTGAGTGGTGAGGGTGAGCGTGAGTGGTGAGGGTGAGTGGTGAGGGTGAGCGGTGAGGGTGAGCAGTGAGGGTGAGTGGTGATTGGTGAGGATGTGATTGGTGAGGATGAGTGGTGAGTGGTCAGGGTGAGTGGTGATTGGTGAGGGTGAGTGCTGAGCGGTGAGGGTGAGTGGTTGTTGTGAGGGGTGAGTGGTGAGTGGTGAGAGTGAGTGGTGAGGGTGAGTTGTGAGGGTGAGTGGTGATTGTTGAGGGTGTGATTGGTGAGGATGAGTGGTGAGTAGTGAGGGTGAGTGGTCACGGTGAGTGGTGAGGGTGAGTGTTGAGGGTGAGTGGTGAGTGTTGAGGGTGAGTGGCGGTTATGAGTGGTGATTAGTGAGGGGTGAGTGGTGAGGGTGAGCGTGAGTGGTGAGGGTGAGCAGTGCGGGTGAGTGGTGATTGGTGAGGGTGTGATTGGTGAGGATGAGTGGTCAGGGTGAGTGGTGAGGGTGAGTGGTTGTTGTGAGGGTGAGTGGTGAGGATGAGTGGTGAGGGTGAGTGGCGGTTGTGAGTGGTGATGGGTGAGTGGTGAGGGGTGAGTGGTGAGGGTGAGTGGTGAGGGTGAGTGGTTAGGGTGAGTGCTGAGTGGTGAGGGTGAGTGGTGAGAGAGTGGTTAGTTTTGAGGGTGAGTGGTGAGGTTGAGTGGTGAGGGTTAGTGGAGAGTGGTGAGTGGTGATTGGTCAGTGGTGATTGGTGAGGATGAATGGTGAGTAGTGAGGGTGAAGTTGAGTGGTGAGGGTGAGTGGTGGTTGTGACGGTGAGTGGTGAGGGTGAGTGGTGAGGGTGAGTGGTGAGGCTGAATGGTGAGGGTGAATGGTGAGAGTGAGTGGTGAGTGGTGAGGGAGAGTGGTGAGTGAGAGTGGTGAGGGTTAGTGGTGAGAGTGAGTGGTGAGGGTGAGTGGTGATTGGTGAGTGGTGAGTGGTGAGGGTGAGTGGTGAGGGTGAGTGGTGAGGGAGATTGGTGAGGGAGGTTGGTGAGTGGTGAGTTGTGAGGGTGAATGGTGAATAGTGAGTGGGAGTGGTGAGTGGTGAGGATGAGTGGTAAGGGTGAGTTGTGAGTGGTGAATGGTGAGGGTGAATGATGAGTACAGTCAATATGCACTGCTGTTATCATACCAGGTACCACCACCACAATATGTACTCCTCTCATCATAGCAGATACCACCACAGCAGTATGCACTGCTGTAATCATAGCAGGTTCCACCACAATATGCACTGCTGTCATCATAACAGGTACCAACACAGCAGTATGCACTGCTGTAGTGATAGCAGGTACGACCTCAGTCGGTATACACTGCTGTAGCGATAGTAGATACTGCTATCGAGTTGGTAGATACCGCTATAGCAAATACTAAAACAGTCAGTATATACCGCTACAGTCAGTCAATACTGCTACAGTCAGTATATACTACTATACAGTCAGTACATATTACCACGGTGAGTAGCTACTAGAGTCAGTAGATACTATTATAGAGTGAGTAGATACTGCTATAGATTTTGTAGTTACTACTATAGTCAGTGGATACACTATAGAGTCAGCAGATACTATACAGTTAGTCGTTACGAGTATATAGTCGGTAGATACTACTGTAGGCCCAGTAAATACTACTATGGTCAGTAGTTATTACAGTCACTAAATACTACTACACAGTCAGTAGCTACTA